GTAGGTCGCGCTGTCGCAGGAATAACGGTGGAGCGACCGATCGCAGCTTCAGACGCCAAACACAGCTGCTCGGAATTGCGTCGGTACCCGTCGCATGCCACGATGCCTTGCCTATTGCTGTTGCAATGTTAGCTGCGGCGGTGGTTTCGTCGGTCGTTGAACCTGGGCTTGTTGACGAGCAGAATCCCAGCAATTGCCGGTAGTTAACTGCCGTTCTGGCGACGTCGGCTGTTCCGTAACGTATGGGCTGCTGCCGCGTAATGAACTGCTGCTGGTGGCAATAGCAACAGTTCGCGTTGTTCCTGTCGCTCTTGCGGAGGTGGCTGCTGACGTCGACGTTTGCAACGGCGGCGTCGACGAAGCCGGCCAGCGACTGGGAAATGAAGGCGATGAGCTGCGTACGGCGAGTGACCTGATGCTGATCTGTGTACACCGGGGGGAAGAGGGAGGGAGGAAGACAACCCGCGCTAGATGTATGGCGGGTACAAGAGGGTGCTGAGACTGGATCATAACTAAGGGAGAAAATTGTGGCTTTTTTTCCTGGCTTCTGATGTGTTTATTTTTCACCTGTACTCTTCTCGTTCGTATTCTATTGCCTTGCTGCTATTGTGGCGTCATGGTATGATCGTCCGACGCCCATAACGCGCCGGGGCTTTTCTCCTAATTCCGTGACAACAGCGTACATACAGACAATAGAGTTCTTCGGTGTCGGTAATGTTGTAACTTGCAAGATTAGGACAGACCCAGTTACCAACGTTGCCATCATCCGTGGTGTTAGGACTGTTGCAAGTCCTGCGGTTTGGGAGTTTCACTTGCTCGCATTAGACTTGGGTGACTTCGTTCTTCTCTACAGGGCCAGAAGGTAACAGGCAATGTACCTGGGAAAACTGGTGCGCACCATTGCCGTTAGAGTCATGAGCACATATATTTTTGTCGCTCTGGTAGCAGAGAACATTTTTGTTGTTCCCAGGAACTTGTAATGATGGTAGTTAATGGTTTCTGCTGGTTGTGTACATGCCGCGTATGCTCTTGAGTGATCTTTTTCCCGCGGCCGCTGTTATTAGCCATATTTAAGATAGGCTACCACGTCTAAGGCAATGCATGTGATTACTGAAACTGGAAATGACGTATGAGCAGTTTTTATCTAGCAGTCCGCACTCAGAACAAAGCACCACACCTTAATTATTGTGAAGTCGATTTTACCGAATTCTGGCTGTCGTCGAGCTGTCGTTAGAATTGTTCCTTATTGCCATGGATGACATATTCGGGGTAAAAAAATCGCCTGCTAAAGCTATAACTGTTGACTTCTCAGAAAAATCAAATGGCCGAGCCCGCGAGGGCAGTTCTCACTATGATGACAAGATGCCGGAGATGTCTGATGTCAATGAATTCCATTGCCTGTTATAATCGTAATGCAGAGCTGCAATTACTAGGGTGCCTGAATCGATATGTAGACCTGTTGGTCCTATGATAGCTGTTATTGTTGCGCTAGGTCTTGTTATGGATGTTCTCTACGAACAATTTTAGGGTGGCTACAGCGCACGTACTTGGCCTTAATGGCAACTATAAAAATATTTCGTATTGACTTCAAGTATATATGTATACATTTCAGCGTAGTTCTTTGTCCTCTGCCATTCCTAGACTAGCGAATTGTTTCATTTGACCTTAACAAATTTATATACACTGGCAACAAGAAAGACGGCACGCTTTAGACACACGTGTGTGTATCTGGCACGACAGCCATGACTGGTTCACGTTTTTTACTAAGCATCTACAAACAGTTACGATGATAGTTAATGCGTATGTTTCTATAACGTGTATCCGACGACGAGTTCATTTAGCCACAGGCGGCCTGTCTGTGTGTATTTGTGACAGATGAACACCCGTAAACGGATTTAGCTGTGTTATCAAAATAACGAGTAAAATGACTATACAAACTTAAGTCTGTTGTTATTGATATTGTCCGTTTTTACTGTTCAGCCATATTGGTTAGTGCTCCCGCTTTGTATTTAATTGTGGTGCCGCACGCTTCCTAATGATCGCTGGTGTTGTGCGCCCCATGTGCGGAGCAGGGAGTAGTGGACGTTGTTGTCTGGAACGGCTATTTCTATTGGCGCTTCTGCGGTTATCGTTACCAATCGGAATTAAACCGCTCGTATTTACTGTAATATACTCCTGATTCTGCTTATCTTTAGGAATAATTTCGAATAGGCGGGTCCTGGTTACCGGCGGCAGCGTCGGTGATACTTTCGTGCTCCTTATTGTTTTCCTTCGTATCGTTATTATCATGTCTACTACGAATGCTTCTACTTTCAAATTCATTCATCGGCATCACTACATAATATTGTAAGCTTTACTTGTTATGGTATTCAGTCAGTGTCTGTGACCTAGTCTCGTCGGTCCCATTGCTGGGTCCATCGCCCAACTGCGACCCAGCTCGACAAACGTTCTCCTACTCGATTCATTACACAGTAAGTACTACCCTGGTATGAGAACTTCCGCTGTTTCTTGTCTACGAGTTCACTTTCTCGAATCTCCCATTTCTACTCGTAGCTTCGGTTGATTACATGAGCCTGTGGAGGTCTGGTGGGTTGAGTTTGACTAAATAATTGTGCTTAGTCTATCGGTGTGTACGTGTCTGCGAACACGTTATATGGACGGGGTTTGGAAGGTAGAAATGCGCGGCTTGCTCTCTTGTGGCGGCCACGAACCTTATAGCACCTGGAACCGATACCTGCAGACACGCAGAATGGCCACAAGATGGAACGCGGGGGGGGGGGGGGGTCAAAGGAAATATATGATCATTGCTGGTATATATGTAACTACGTGTATATGTAATTAGGAAGCAATTTTCAACGGGGGATGTATCTATGCGCTTGAATTTTCATCGTTGATTGCGAGTCATACAACTTATCATGTGGATGTGCTACTGTTATCAGGTAATCGTAAACAGGTGCAATGCTTAGGCTTACCAGCTTACATAATTAAAACGCAAACATGGTTTAGTTTTGATCATATATCTGGTTTGCACGACTTGTATTAATATATATATATATATATATATTCACGTATCTACACAGCTAACCTAAGTCAGTCGTGTCAGTTGTGTCTGGTCTCAGTCCTTCGCCAACGGAATACTCGCGTCTCTACCCCGGTGACGATTTCATATTTACGGGCGAACCTGTCTCATACTTTGGTTAACCTTAAACTAAACTAGGACAACGAGGATGGCCTTTGCATTATTGAAAATAGCATGAGTTAAATAACTACCAGCAGAGAACGAAAGCTAAAATAAGCATGAAAGAACGACAAAAACGCCGAAAAATACGGCGCTCAAACCTTGAAAGTATGTTACCAAACGAGTTATGCAGCCGGTAGACCTGCTAGTAAATACGTTATAAAGGTCGGGAATGCTTGCGCAATGCAATACTGCCTCCATCTACGTGATCACTTTCCGTACGAAATACAGACGGTAGGTGCTGGGAGACTACAAAGCTTCATTTGTGGATGGCTGCAAGTTTTGCGCAAGATTAAGAATTGCAAGGGCTTGGACAAGCGATGGCTAGTAGCTGCTAAGTTCTGATCAGGAGGCAGGGATAGCTATAGTCGATCAACACGGATGACTCAACATTCGGATAGGTTAGATTTATCGTCGGTCACTGAAGGAGTTTGTGAGAAAGATCCGCATCTATAGATGACTATCAAAGCTACAATAGACGCCTAACGTGATAGTTAGTTTCTGTTCACAGAAAAAAAAAATAAACAATGGATGCTCCCGCCGAAAAATCTGCGATGTTTGAATAGCAGAAGCGCCATCAATCGAGTGCAATGCTTCCGCTTGCGCAGATGTTGCTGGCACATTAGAATACCGACGATTTGCCAATAGTGGCAGCAGCAAGATGTAATGGAATGAATGCACAGTTCGAAATAGAACAACAGCATGGACGAACGAACGAATGAGGCGTTGGCTGCACGGCAATCGAGGCCATCAAAGTACATTAATGCGGTTGTAGTAATCAATCACACAACGCTCTTCCACAAAGGTCCAGATATCCGAGTTCACACTAAGGCCTGGGTGAGCCTTTTCGATCGCCGCTTTTTTAGCGACAGTAGGACGAAGAATAAACTTTCCTGACACCATCTCGGCAGCAGGTGAACTATACCGCAAGCAAGCCCTTCAGTAACGCCTCGACTTGACTACGCTTGTCATTTTTTGTTGCCTTGTCTTTCTTGGTTAACAGTCTCACAATCGAATGTAACTCGGAAGGGGAAAAGTGAGTGTAACGACATCTTTGCTGTTGTTGTTGTTGTTGTTGTCGAATATGTCGTAATCTCTTATTTCTATGGGCGCGTTTGTCAAATTTGATCTATTCCGCACAATTGGATCACGCGCAGAGTCCGACAAACACACGGTGGAACGACAGGATCATGAGTTTGATGGGTGGTTACGTGATGAGTGAACAGGTAGGCCAAATTAGGTCCATGGTACAGGTATCTTTAGCAGCTTGAATTTTGGGTAAAACCATACCAGGCACGCACCGAGACACCAGCATATGCTTGCTAATTTAGAGCTCAGCCAGCGTTCGGGCATATGGAATAACTTCAACAAAGATAAACAATTGGAGGGCACTAGTGACTTTGGACTATAGCTTAAATAGATTTTGGCGTCGCTTATTATTATTAACCTTAGTGATGCGGTTAGATTTCACTAAGTGAATTGAAAAAGCCTGAAACAAGGTAATCATGGACAATGATCGTTTAAGAAGGTTGTCTGCTCTGTGAAGATTTCTGTCTGTTTCCACTTTAAATAACTGTCAGCTTGCAGGAAAACGTATGTGCGTATTTATTATAAAAGCTGCACATAAAAATTCAGATCTTCCAACAGTCATAAATAGATAGACATATGCGTGCACAACTGTATTTGCAGTATTTTTTTTATATAGTTGTTTCTCATGAGAGCATTTTTTTTTGAGAGAGTTGTGATAAGTTCACTAACTTACCATATCTATATGTATTCCATAGTAAATGCACTCTATTCGATTACTCCAAACACGTATGATTTGATGCACCGACCCCATCGTAGCATATCGGACGCGCAGACATCAGTATGCTGTGTTGTCGACACAGCCGACATTCGTTACTGCTTGACGTTGTTCTTGCTTTTTTTCTTTTTTGACATGATTCCATCTCAAAGCAATCCACCACCATTTCTACGGCCTGTCACCCACCGTCCGCAGTGGACTGCCCTCGAATAAGCCCCTTGCCTTACTGTCGAGGCAATACCGTAGTAAACACCAACAGCTTAGCAGTGTAACGCGTATTAAACCGTAGCGCCAGAACCACTGCGTTCTCGAGGCAGCCTTTGGGATATTCGCTCAGATAACGGCCATCGCCGTTACGATCGTCATCATTGTAGAATACGACGCCCTGTAACAAATGGCTGCAACTGATGGTGGCCGGGTATCGCCGCGGTCCTCGCGCGGCTGTTGATGACACTACCGCCTGTTTAGTCGCTTACGTGGTTGACTAGATAGTTGTGGTCTAGCTATCCAGGCATCGCTCTCACTCTTGAAGATTTTGCACGTCGATAGTTAAAGGCCGTTGACACCGAGTAGAAGGGAGTCGCGCGTCCTGAGAACTGCGTCTTCTGCCATGGCCACAAGAGTAGGCGCGACAACGGCTGCAGCTGATCCTGCCTTAACTTCTTTCTGCTGGCGGTGACTAGATGTTGACGCGGTTGAATGATTGGCGCCGAGTCGACGTTCAAGCCACCAAAATCAGCGTCGCGCTGACATATCTATGTACGTACGTAGATATTCGCTTTACAACCGCTATCATAACTATTGCTGTCTAAATAACATTGCCTGATCTGGAAATATTGCCTCCGGTATTTTAATGCTTGACCGGGACTACTTTTATCAGACGACCTTTTCTATCGCAGGCAAGCGCGCCGGCCCAGCCATTTACCGAAAAAATACGCAAGCCAGCGGCCTATTCTATCGATTTCAGTTACAATGACCGCGCTTCGGCTCCAGCCAATCGCTTGACTTGCCACTGGTCGCGTGTATAGAATATAGCAAATAACGACCGGTGAATGCTGCGAAGAGAAGGCTTTAGATATGAGTGATAGCAAAGATCGAATACATGGTTTAGTCATATGGGAAGTCCCCCCCAATGGAGGTGAAAAAAAATTGATATACGAAAATGGAATAGTGCCAAAAAGGTCGATGCAATGAAAAATGTACCCGAATTGATCCTCTGCTGCCTTAAATGGGATATCCGGAAATTTTTCATACCGCGCACACCCTTCGAGTCAATGAGGACCCCCTTTTATTCTTGCCATCGTAGGAGAGTTCTGTTGAACTGACGTGTCTAGGCTGCAACGGACATATTTAGCCGATTGTAGGTACAAAAAAATTTTACATTCTCACCCGTGCTTCTATAATACGCCCAGAGTCCAAAAGTACGTACGCATCAAGCAAGTTACAAGCACAGCGTGGATCGTAAGATCTATCAGAGGGAATGTTCCATCTCCAATGGAACGTCGACAGATCAAGTTCAAATGTCACTTGCGTTTGAGTTGTTACGGTCCCAGCTGCGACTAGCAAACAACACGGCACCCATACTCTTTCGCTTGTTACACAGTGGTGTTGCTCTATGGCATTCACCAACGCAGTTCTCCATGCCAACAAAACATCCACCCCACTCAAATTTATATCTCTAAGACTTTCGCTGATTAGTATAATTTTAGTTTAACTGTCATACCTAAAGTTAGCTACTCTAATGACCTGGATACCTATAAACACAAGAAAAAAAAATACCTAACCTTCCTCCATGGCAAACCTGTACTAGACAATGTACTTTATGGCAGATATTCCACCGATCAGAGAGCTTTAACTGTGGCGTATTATGGTGATAATAGCAACAAGCTGCTGCGTACAAACGACATTTAGCTTGCCTGTACTATATAGAATTTAAGCCGGCGGCAGGCGAAAACACCTATCCACCCGTCAGCCTGTCTGGCCGGTTGCGCTCTAGCGCGTTTAAGCTGCGCGGGCCCGACTGTTTTCTCGCGCGGCCGCTGATCTAGCTACTTCTGGCATATAGAAAACAGACTGGTGTTACACCCTCTCTAGAAAACGCGGCCAGATGCGCACTCAGACACTCAAATGTCCGATGTGTTTATGTGCGTTACTTTGAAAAAAGTTCATATTGATACTGCGGTTGTTGATACGATTGCAAGACATGCAGAAGTGCGCTGACGGCTGCTCTGTGGCTCTAAGAATGCGGTGGGAATAACCACTCCGAGACTACTACGCTTTACGGCAGGCTTGCCTTGACCTGAGTCGCAGTATAGGCGTTACGCTTCTTAAAGCTTATAATACCTACGTATAACTTAGCGTAAAGTATATATATGGTGCTAAACCATAGGCAGATACTTACTGATAACAACATAATTGTTATACTCACCTGTTTGTCTCTGCCCACCATTTTCGTTTTTCCTGTATGTTACACAGTTACTCGAATCGAACATATTGAATATTCATCCGTCCTGTTGTTATTGTTGTTGTTTTTAGTACCAATGGTAGCTAGTAGATGTTACGCTTTCTAATGCTGTTGCCGTCGTAAACTAGTTACAATGTGCATGACTCAGACAATGAGTCAAAACGGTGGTAATGATCACTGTTGAACATGTTGATTATAGGGTTGTATAGCGAAACAGAGCTGTATCATCAGACTTCGGCGCGGTCTGAGAGCACCGGTTACCAATCCTGGCGTAACCGATGCCATGGGGCTGTGCGCAAGCATACTAACGACAACACCCGCCTGAGAGAAGAGTCTACAGAAAAAGCGGAGTTTGATCTGCTTGAAGGAAAGTGAATTTCACATAGCCAAATAGACCGATTCAGGATATCCAAAAGTGTTTGCTCATTGCATCTAGCCCACGGTTATTGCGGCTGGACTTTGGGTCAACAGTCGCAAGTACAGTTTTCTAACGAGGATGGTTCTCTCAGTTTCGAAAACCAAGGATTATTCAATAATGATAGTTGGAAAGTGTGGTTTACAAATCGGCGTGAGCGTTTCAAGTCTCCGTTTGTATTCCAGTATACTATGGGTACATGCCATAGATTTTTTTTGCGTAGCGATTGCTAACCTAAATCGTATGCTCTAGTAATAGATACCGTCAGGTATCCGCAATTTGTCGTGGCAGTGTTTTCCTGTATGACGGTCGTGACATAAGCTACCCTAGGGTGCGATTAGCTTAGCGGACATTTCCGGTATTAGATTTCCAAGTCCACAGTATCTTTTTGTCCTTGATGGCGGTATGGTCTTCCCTAACACTTCCGTAAGTGGTCGGTCATTCCTGTTATATTCTAGTCCTACATGCTTTATTGTCCTTGGCAATGTTCCACTTGAAGCAACGGTGTACTTGTGTACCGGGTAAAGCGTCGACGAAACTGGTCGGGTATGCAGCGGCCTGCATCCGTCAACAATAGACTTCTTGCATCGCCGATGTAGATCTGCCTGTCGTTGTAGACAATCTTCGTTCTACTTTTAGCCACATATACATGTCGAAGCCCTGAAAATGTCGCAACCCATGTGAGGAGAAAATTTTGCTCTAGTCTAAATGATGCTGGCAGAACACTAAACACCAAATGTATTTTCAAAATCTAGCCTAAAACAAACGCCCTTCATTGTTAATTACAGTTGTTACATTTATTATAATCATTGGATGCGGACGTGTGAATGTTTATACGTATTAACAAAAAAATGGCGAATTAGTTTGCGGTGTGTGTTCATTGTTTGAACATATTAAAAACCTGCACGATCTGTTGTGATCGATCGTAGTAAACTACGCTATTGGATAGAGAATGTTTCTAGTTTCTCAAGCCAATGCTTGCTAAATAGACCGTATTTAGAAGCTACGGAAAGATAATCAAATCAAACATAGGATACTTTAACGCGAGAATCTATTTAGCTCATTTCCGTTACTTGCCGCATGCGAGATGTTTCAAGTAAGTAAAAGTTACTTCGGCTAAGTTATCTTCCGTAAATGTAAGGTTAATACGATTAAAGCTCAATGATTTCTTAGTGTAATATATCTGATGTAAATATTTTCTCCCGTCTGACCCGAATGCAGTGAGTCGATTGATGCATACCAGGTTCTGCCATGTCTAGTTACGAAATGCAATGGACTATTATTTCGAATTTTACTTATTTTGAATTTAACTTAGTTATATTTCATGGGACAGAGTAGGTCTCACTCCGCTGTGCCAGAATCCAAGTTCTTAATCGGAACAACGTATCTCTGTCTGAAGGAGTCGACTGGAAAATGTTATGCTCACGACGTTTAATCAGGAGGGGATTATCAGACCGAAAGGATACAGACGCAATTTCAACCTAAGTTAACACGTCGTGTTCTAAATTCGATTTGTATATACATCGGGAGTTACCCGTTAGCGTATGACATAACAGGTCTGAGCGCAAACTGCTGTTAGGCGTATTAACAACTATACTCTCGTGATACATTTATTGTAACGATCTCACTCAAATGATTGATATATAATGTATTATTTTACTATATTGCACTATATGATTGTTGAGGCATACGTAGAACATGTTAGAACTTAAAACGAAAGTTGATCTATAAAGTTCCAAGTTTGCGCTTTGCGGCAAAATACGCATCAATTTATACTTGTGGATAGATTGATACATGGCAGTATCGATCTGTGGTAGTATTATCAGCTTGTGGTTGCTTGTCTAATGGCCATAATCCATGCGCGTTCTGCTTACTTGAGACTGATCTCCGCTGTGCTTTTGCAATCTTTTGCTTTCCACGGTTTCTAATTGTTTACGGTTTATAGCTACTATTTGTTATCGCTAGACCAAGTGATTTATTCTACGACGAAAACACCTCATTCGGGCACACAAGTGTACACAGCAACGTAATAAGCACATATATACATTACGAATGTGCTGATATATATATCTAGTTCGGCTACCTCTGTGTTCGATAACAATACAGGCAGACGCTGCAACGCCGACCATCTCAGTTTCGTTAGAGGCGCTGAATTGTTCGAGGCATACAGATGACAACCCCCATTGCTGTTAGGATAATGGTACGGCGCAGAATAACGGGGTCAGGGAGGCAGAACGAACACGATAAAAAGAGCAGTTGCAAAAGGAACTCTGTTGAAGGTAATTTTAATCAAACATTTATACAATAAAAGATCGACACGTGAAGCTGTACAAACGTGGTCACGCTTCGATCCCTTATGAATACTAGCATATCATAAACTCCCATTAACATGCTCGCATATTCACTGATTGAGGTGCATCAAAGGTAATAGCAAACGTGGGCCTTGCTCTGGTGTGACACTGGTCGCTATCAGGAGTGTTATTAAGTCTGAAACCATGAGTAAGCTATTCAAAAGACTCTGTTAGAACTTTTAAGAAATTGTGAAAAATTTTTTAGCAGGTGGCGGGTTGATTGACTTTGGAGTGTTCAGTCTTATTTCATTGCTAGCTGAGCAGTTCATTGATCTCACTCCCACACCTTCTTGCAGCAATTTATTTAAGAATCAGGCTAGTTTAGAGAGAGTCAGTATTTCTATAGAAAACCGACAACAAATCAGTAATAATGTCTTTCTCGTAATCCGGTGTCTTCAATTAATCCAGTTTATCTTTTAGTATGTTGCACGATCGATACGCAAAGGTAATGATGGTTACGGTAGTATGGCGTCACAAGAAGCGCCCAAATCATAAAATACGTCCTCAACCTAACGATAGCTATCACTATATTCGAAGTATGTGCCACCTTCAATGACGTAGCAGACAACGGCCATTAGACTTCGGACGAATTGACAAAAAGCGCGTTCCATTCTGCGCGTTTTTCCAGCCGTTGTCATCTTTTTATACACACTAACAGCTCAAGGGACATCCATTCACGCGCACGTATACGAAAATCGAAAAATCCCACAGGTCGACATAACACTTTTATCAAAAATCTGGAAAGCTGCACGTATACACAACGTATTTATGGTGCACGGAAGTATCGCAACTATATCGTCGAAAATTGTTACAAGGGACAGACCGATACATGCATAAGGACACTCTTATTGAGAGAGTGAAACTCTCTCAATGTTGTGTTCCGATATTTGGCTGTGCATTTTTCATTCTGCCTGCCGATTTTTTCGAGTAAATTTGATATTGCAGGACCAGGCTGAAAAAGAGCTAGTAGATAAATTCAGGTCTTAGCAAAAAAAATGCGAAGGAACATTAAGTGGAAAATCAACTATGCTAGTTCTTTGATGAAGCAATACTCTTTTTCAGATGGCTGACTACTTCAGTGTTCCTAAACATGCCTGCAAACCTAATCATAGGTGCGCCCAAATGACAAAGGGAATGCACCTAGTAATGGGTTAGAAGATCCATCCGTGTTTGAAACAGTTATTGATGATACGGTAATCTGCCAGACATGTGATAGCTAGCTTTATCAGATACTGGGAACGCTATCTTGATTCAGTGCGGGCACTATTTTATTATGCTATCGCTGCATGTTACTATCTACAATTGAAAAATATTCTCAACTCGTTACTACTGGTAAAAAGGCCTAGTATACATTGAACATTGGTAACCGCTGCATCAGCAGAACGATCCCTTCGTCAGCGAAACCGGGAAAGCTAAAATGCCCTGTGAAGAGGATCATTGTTGTACTAACACTGTACATAACATTCACGTCATTTTCGTGATACCGTATTTTATTACATGGGTATTCGTCTCCAGATGATTTTAAGGTTGTTCTTTTTTAATCAAATTCAGGAGATCAAGTATATCTGTATCCTCCTAGGTGCAGTTTAGATAAGGCGCGAAATTTCGAAA